AGGTAGGTAAGTGTCAAGGAAAGATGATCAGCAGAGATGCCTGGCATAGTTTCCACCGCCATGTAAGGTTGGTTCACCCATTTCAAAACCGCACTAGTGCCTAAGGGAGAGCTCAGAGTCTAGAATTTACTACAGGCTGGGAATCACAACGAGGTGTTATATAAAAGCCATCAGGGACAAGGAACTTGAATGAGGGAAGGAACCCCTTGGAGGTAAACAATGTCAGAAAAGAAGCCCTCAACAAACAAGAACATTAAAAAGCTAAAAAGCTGCGTGCCATAAGCATGGTGTGCAGCTTAACAGAGCTGGCAGCAGTGGGTGAGAGAAAATGTGGAGAAGCAGTCCAGTGAACCCAGCGGATGGGCCCCGAGCTCACAGAGGACCCCAAAAAAGATGAAAAAAAAAAAAATAGCTCCAAGGATCAAACCTTCTCAGAAGTCTCTTTCCAATCAGGACCCTAGAAATAAAAACCAGGATGATGTGGAGGCCGCCGGGAAGTCATGCATCAAAACCACACAAGTGGTGAAAACTGTGACAAGAGAAGTACAGGAGAAAAGTGCGGGCATTGACTTTTTGACCAAACGCATCTGTAAGGACGTGGCCACGGATGAACTGGACAAGATGCTAAGCAAGAAAGGGTCGCCCACGCGCCGCATGAAGTGCTCCAACATGGTTTCGGAGCTGACCCGGGGCTGGAAGGAAATGGAAAAGGAGAAAAAGCAGGCTCAGGAGGGCAGTGGGGATAATGAGGATGGAAGCCTGCAGCTAGGAACCAACCAGGAGGACACAGGTAATAATAGGAAGAATTAAAATACAGAGTCTGTGGTCACAATCAAAAGATCCACTGTTCTCAGGTAAATTCTGGTCTTCTAATAACAGATAAGATATAAAATGTGGAATTTTGTTGTTGTTGTTGTTGTTTTAGAACAAAAAGCTATAAAGCATATGTTGCGTGATATTTTATACGAAAGGTTAGTCTGTGGTAATATTTAGATGTTGTAAATCAATGTATTTATAACTTATGCTGTGTTTGATGGAGATGTTGTGTGTGTAATCTGCACCATGTAGTGCACCATTTATTCACCAACAGGGCTTTTATGAGGCTATAATACTCATAAAATAATCTATAATAACAATACAAGATTTACAGCCATACTGATTATTCAGAGCAACTCCACCAACTTTTTGACATCAAAAAAATTAATTAAATTAAATTAAAATATATAAATAAAAGAAAAGAAATCCACAGCAGAATTAACCACTGTGTGTCTCCAAGCAAGTTAGTAGTGTTTCTGAATGAAACAGTGTTTTTGAATGAACCGTTAAATGATTGATTCAGCTTAATTTCCAAATGAATTAGTGTTTTTGAAAAAATATGTTCAATTGATTATTCAGTTACTCATAAATACAATTAGCCTACTTATTTAGTTCCTGAATGAATCTGCGTTTTTGAAAGAATTGGTAAAAGATTCTCACTCAAAAAAAATTAATTTGTTTTGTTACTGAATGAATCAGCGTTTTTGAATGATAAAGACAAAAGATTCGCTCATCATCATTCTGATGGTTTACTCACTTCTAACACGGTGAATGGCCTTCCCATGCTCCCTCCAAACACCTGTTCTGGGAGTTTGTTGAGAAATTACGAAATTCTGTGAAAAAGGCAGATTACTTTATGGCAGCATCAAATGCATGTGTGCAGCTAACCACTGTAATGACCAGTGAAATATTTACTGCATTGAATTCCACTCACTGCAGAAGCACAAAAATACACAAAACTACATACAGTACATACAATGCTACACTTTATTTGTAAGTAGCCTACTAGCATTACAATTTGCATTATTTTATAAATAATATGCACAGTATTCTTAGGGGAAAGAAGGATGTCGAAGATGCCAACAAAATAAATGCCTTGTCAAAAAAACACAGCGCTGTGGGCAACTTAAAAAGCCGCTGGCAAAACTGGGCATCGGAACATACCATCAATCAGAAGCTCAACCCCTTCAGCGAGGACTTTGATTATGAGTACTCCATGTTAACACGGCTGCGGAAGGGTGAGGAGGGCTACGGCAGGCCCAAAGAGGGCAGCAAGACAGCAGAGAGGGCCAGACGTGCAGAGGCACACATCCACCGGGAGATAGATGACATGTGCTTCATCATAAGGACCATGGAGGACCCGGATCCAGACGGTTACACTAGAGTGACTTTTGGCGATCTGTTTGACAGATATGTGCGGATCTCTGATAAAGTCGTGGGCATACTAATGAGGGCCAGGAAGCAGGGAAAGGTGGCTGAAAGGATGATGGTGTCATTATTACTCTGTTAGTATGACAGAAGACTGACACAGTGTGGTGTGACTGAACTGAATGTGAAAGACTTAGCTGCTTTTGATAAAATATAGAAATTATATTATTAAATTATTATGGTTCTAAGTGTTCTATGTGTTTACATGTATGTATTACAGTTTGTAAGTTTGCAGACTGAGTTTTCTGAGCTGTCTCAGCTCTTGCTGTGTTTGCTCACTTATGTGTGTGCATGTACAAAGATTTGTTTCATTGAATCATACTTTGTAAATAAGAAACTGCTAAAACGACTATGCTAAAAGGCTACACATTAGAGATAAAAGGGGCTGCTCTGATAACATATTATTTGTCATACTGTAAATCGTCCAGAAGAGGGAGCAGTGCGCTAACGCTACAATTTGCTCCTTGCCATGTATTTGCAGTCATTATAATCTGGATATTACCTCTGCATTTAGTACATGTTGTATACACTCTAAACAAAAATGGCGCTAAATAGCACTAAAAGTGGCTCATTGGCTTGTAATCATACAGCACCTTTGTCAAATGGTGCTATGTAGAACCGTAAGAGAGAAATTTGGAAGTAGCCTACATTACAAGAAACACAACAACCTTTTTTCTTTCAGGGTGATTTAAAATGCAAATAAAGAAAATATGCCTGCAATCTTTCAAAATACATTACATTATACAGTAACAAATGGTAGCATGTTTATGGGAAGCTTATGGGAATTGTGTCAACCTACAGTAAGTGTATGAAGATAATCATGTAGCAGCAGAACAACATGTTCAGTCACAGATCAAACCTTATCAGTAAAGCCAAACATTTGTTCTTTGATTGTCATTTGTCTGGAAACCAGAAAAACAAGAGCTGACTGTAATCTTCAGGAATGCAGATTTAAAAAAAAAAAACATTTAGAGGAAGTGCTGTGTCATAACATAAAAGTGTGGAACAAAATCTTATACCTGGACCTAATGGACAGGCAAGCTTTGTAGCTCCAGCTGAAGGTTTCAATTTAGAAGAATGGAGTAAAAGTAGTCTACACTTCATATGTTCCACATTTGCTATTTATTTGCAATGTCAAGTGTCCATAATGAAAACAAAATAAAATTAATATAAAAAGTATAATTTCAGGAAAAGCTACTTGGTCAGACCCAAAATCGTGGTTTCCCACATCATTTGTTCCAGGATCCATGATGTCCACCAAGGGGCTCCAACTGTAATCAAATTGATCTAGAAGCGTACTCTAATGTATACTTGCATTAGTGTGGGTTTTAAACAATACTGTGCAGTTTTTCTTTTGTTCAACTAAACCTGTTCAAAATACTTTAATATTGCCACACAGAAGAACCAAAATTAACCATATATAATTATAGATGACATATATTCTTACACATTTCCCATAACCTAAATTAGGTTGTGATGTGATCAGTTCATACAGTGATAGGGATGTAGGTTTACATGATAATCATTTCTAAAGGATTCATGCTCAACATTATTGTATTCACTCATGCAAAAGGAATTGAGATAGCCTGAGTTCCGCAGACAGTGATCTGTATCTATAATGATGCCTCTTCATTCTCCACTTTATAGCTTCTGTGTCATCCTGGGAAGTCAAACTCTTTCACGGGTCCAGATTAAGAGCTCAATAAAGAATTCATGTTGCTCTCCGGTTGTTCTGATTCAGTGTTGTCCTTGTTGGACAGCTAGAGCTGAAAGAGTAAAGAGAAACATTTACTCTTTACATTTAATACTAACATATTAGAAAAGAGCATACCAACTTTGACCTAAAACGTGTTTTAAAGGGGCCTTTGACTTACAGTTTGGGAGTTCATAGGTTAAGATTTATACGTATGTCTTTCAAACATGTTAGAAATTATGACAATGAAGAAATCTCTATGTCACAATAGAACTTTTCAAAAATAATATTCAATGAGTTAGAGGCATGCAACAGGTTCACAGTTACACAAGCAGACACATTTATGAGCAACAATATATATATATATATATATATTTTTTTTTTTATTTCAAATTTCTTGCAGCATAGAATGTGTTTGTAACCTAAATAATAATAATAATAATAATACATTTCTTCAAACATACTTCTCAAACATTTGAATAAACATCAGAGTTTTTCATCAGAGTTGACAACCAGTTTACTTTCATATGTTTAACCCACATTTCTTTCAGCCTACTATTCTCCCATGTAAATTGCTTTGGATAAATTTAATTGTCATAGTCAAATAAATAAATAAATAAATAAATTCACACATGATAGATAGATAGATAGATAGATAGATAGATAGATAGATAGATAGACAGATAGACTAATATAATGAGTTGAAACCGGTCTAACAACGTGGTTACATATCCAGTAACTTTGAGGTGGAACTACAATACCCATGGTTCTTTGGAAACACATTTCACGCTTTTCCAGCACACTCGGTTTTGACAGAGGTTGCTTGCAAGTGTTAATAAGCAAGACGCTTTGGCAGAGTGGGGTACTCAGACAACCAACAGCTTTACCTTCCCATAATGCGCGAACTCATGGAGTAGCGGTATGGCTGTTCAAGGTAAGACTTCAACAAACGTCTCGAGATTAATTTCTGCGGATATGTTTGTTTATAGAAAAGAACGCTTCAACAGCAAACAATCAAACAAACAACGCTTCCCCACAACTGGGTTGGGATTATGATTGGCTGCCGATCAGCCGCAGATCTTTGCCCTGCTCTTGCGCTGGAAACCTATGACATAGAGATGGGCTCACGGGGCCCGTGGGCTTGAGATCAGTCTATGCATGTATTGTAAAGATTCACGATCTGCATCATTCAGCATCTGCACGTCCACCCACTGATTCACATCTCACCGCGGAACACCATTAAGAGGAACAGAACACCACCATACAGCATGTTCCTACTCTGAGTTAACCATTTTAATGTTTAGAACCCGTATTTTGTGCGACTCTTTCACGTTGGTCATTGAGATGCGATGCGCTCTTCATTGAGGAGCTGCGGACTGGCGTGAGCGCGTTATTATTAATCAGCTTTCATAAGGCGCGCGAGCTGGGCGCTTGTGTTAGACAGGTGTTTCGTTTGTGTTTCGACCACCTGCTCTGGTGCCATGATGTTAGGGCAGTCTCCACACCTTATCGGGGGAATCCTCTGGATTCAAAACCCAATGCGAGGTAGGTTTATCTCTGAGGACAACGTCGCTGTAATTATCTGTCATTTCTCGAAACTTGCATTGAATTACGACTTATCGATTGTTACTCTGTGTCGTATTGGCGATACAAGTTCAAGTAAACCAGTTTTGTGAGGTCATGAATATTGTGAAGAATCAACACCACTTAACTTATGTCACATGATCTAGTTATTTTACTGTTATTGAATGCTTATTAAAGTTGATTTGTGGAATGATGGGGTTTGTAAAGGAAACTTGGACAAGTTGTAACTCATTAACGTCGGTAAATATTTCTAAGGGTCGAATTATTTTTGAAAGTGGATTAAAGTATTCGACATTTCCACCGTTCTTGCATAGGAAAAAATATACAGTTCTTTGTACAGTGCTATGATGCAGTATACGTTTACCTTTGTAAACTAACAATGGAACCTGTCACTACAAAGCGTATTATGGCAAATATAGCAACATGTAAACAGCAAAACAATTGTGAAACAAAAAGTTTACATTTATAGAAATATGATAATATTAGAATTTTAGTTTGGAAAGCAAAGGGGGTTTTGGGAGTCTTAATAAGATCAAACAAGAACCCTCCTATAATCATATAGCCTAATAATACTGAATCTTTGAAAAATTAACTGAAAATAGGAATTACAGTTTATTCAGTATCTTGTTTGGTTCTTAGATTCTTGTTTGACCCGACTTGGTCTGGCTCCAAATATGATATAAATTCCATTGACATTCCTTAGATTCTTTTAATGCCTATGCTTTTATAAAAAAAAAAAACATTTTACCTCTAATAAGTAAATTTATCTGTGCAGGTGATGGATGGCCTCCAGTTAATTTTAAATAATGACATGCACTTAAAAAAATATTTAATTGTTAGAGTTTAATTGTTTACCTCATACTGTACCCAATACTGTAATTTACATCCTGGATAGGACCAAATGCTAGAATTATATCCTAACATTTTGTAGTCAGCATTTTGAAGATGTCTTGTCTCAGCATACAGTCAAGAGAATAAAGTAACTGATAATATATGTTTTACATTAAAAGTGTATGCACAAAAATGTACACATCTTTACAGATAATGGATCTTTAGGGAGTGTAACTCCTTACTTGTACTGCTGGCCTGCTGTTTTATTCCACTGAAAAATGGGCACTCCCTACAGCTCTGTTGCAAAACTCTGAGTGATTATATATTTTAAACACTTTGTACTGTAGTATGGTTGTTTAAAGAGTCTTGCTGTATCATCTCAAGGGATCTCATACATTATCTTGCTCTGGGTGTTTTTGTATAAATGCTTTGGCTCTTAAAAACTTTTTATTCTGCTTCATGATTGGTCATCAGGGATGAGACATATAAACTGAAACCAAGCCTGAATGAACAAGACACGGCGGTATTACTCAGCTGGAGGGCTGCTTAGTTCATGCTCTGCTGAATGTTTCATCCTTTTCTGCTTTTAGAGTGATGTTTGCACATTATAAAACAGCAGAACACTAGATTTATGCATGTGAGATATGCATGGCACTGACATTAAGTGGCAGAAATATGTATGTTATGTTGAAAAGTTTGACATATATAAAAAGAGGAATGCAGGTATGCTTCTTGTGTGTAAAATTGAGTAGAGAAATTTGTTGGAATGGCCTGGTGACGGAGCGCTTACATAGTCACAGGAGACATTCAAAGACATTTGCATTCTCAGGCTACTGAACAGATTCAAGATCAAAACGGTGAGAGACTCCCACCCACTCCAGGCAGACTCAGAGACTGATGTGGTGCAACACATTGCTAATATGTATGCAACGCTGAAGAAACTCGAAAGATAGTACGTTCCAGAATACAGCTTCTGAACAGAGCTCTTATCTTTGATCAAAATAATTGACAAGGTGTTACAAGAACCAGTTTCTGCTATATAGGGCAGTCGAGTTGGCAATGATTTTTTTTTTTTTAGAGATTAAAAATGTTCTTTTTTATGTTTAAAGTTCTTCAGATCACAGTTTTGGTTTTTGGGTACTTGTGGCAGTCCTTCAGCAGGGTTATTCCTTATCTAAGACAAGTTAGTCTAATGGTGCATTGAGTTTTCGTTTAGCATGCAAGGGGACCGGTTTCGAAATTCTGACCTACAGACACAATGCCTCTTCAAGTTTGGGGTCAATAAGATTTGTTTTCTTTGGAAGAAATTAATACATTTATTCAGCAAGGATGCATTAAATTAATCAAAAGAGACAGTAAACGCTTTTGCAACAAATTGTACTTCAAATAAATGCTGTTCTTTGGAACTTTCTACTCATCAAACAAACCTGGAAAATATGGCCACGTTCACACAGCAGCAGAATACGGTTGTCAGTCCTGTATTTGAGTCCTTAATACGGTTACGTTCACACACAGTTCAGTTATTTATGGGCGTGACAACCGCATTCTGTAACCGAACTCACACCCGTAAATTTTCAGGACTCACAACCGCATTCTCGGAACACACGTGCTGTGTGAACGGAACCGGACTAGACAACTAGTTGTCTGTCACGTCATACAGCATGAAAGAGAGCCGCTCTGCCGCACAAACGCGCGTCTACCGTGTGTTACGTGTTTTCATGTGTGTTTTCGGTAACTTATGCAGAGTTCACACTGCACGATTTTCAAAGACGTCGCATCACGGTTGGTTTCACACTGAACGACTATCTGGGGTAGCATTCAGTTGTTGCTGTGTTCACACTGCACGATGGAATGACGACAGGAGGTTACACACTGCATGACTTTACAATAGGAAGAATCGCCGACAGCTCTGTCTGGTGCAGGG